AAACACATAAAACAGCAAGCCAAAAGTGCATTTCCATGAAATTTGGCGAAAAAAAAACTCAACCAATTTCAGAATTTTCAGATATTTGAACAGCGCAAATTCTAAAACACCAAATAACCCCAAATTTCACACACAGCAACAGGGTCGGCCCACGGGCCGGCTTGGGTGCCACCATCCTTGTCTGGGAGGTGATCGACTCAAATGCGAACGGTTAGATGGGGGACCTCCCCTTCCTCCCGCTTGACGATTGCCATTATCGCCAGCCCCCTGGCCGCCCTGTCCTCAGCCACCCGGGGCCCGGCCGCTCTGGCCGGACCTTTGTCCTCCTCCTTGCGGCCTCCCCCCGACCGCGACAGCAGCATAGATTCTCCCCTGACCAACGCTACTGTCCTGCTGCTCTAGTCCCCACTCAATGGCAGAGTAGGGAACCTCGTCTGCACCACCTTCCTCAATTGTTAGTATTAGACTATCTTTGGCCTTGATTTGGCCGGAGATGGTGCGTCCCTTCCACGTTTTTCCCTTTGACAAGTCTGTGTGTCAGAACATGGTAACTGGCGATGCTTGGGCGGCAAATGCTACTGCCTCTCGACTAAGAGTATCATAAGTCATGCCCTGCTGATTCTTCTTCTCAAAGACATGTCCCTGAATATTTTCAGGCAGGGCACGGTAGAAGAGGTTAAGAAGTTGGGCATCCGTTACCCCATGCACAGGGACCGCAATCAATTCGTCCATAGCAAACTTAAGCACATGCACACTCCTCCACTGGCGAGTGTGTATCATTTGGAGTTTGTTGGAGGCTTTGAGCCCCCGCGTCACATCAGAAAATCTCTCTCAAAGCGATTTCAGGAATTCGGAGAGGGGCGTTAGTCTAGAATAGGTGACCATATCATTCTCGCAATTTGCAGCGCGAGCGAGCGACCTAGCAAAGCTGGTCGCCTCATCTCGAAGAGCCTGGAAGGCCACCAACGTGGTCCTCAGGTGTGACTCTCTGTAAGTAGAGATAGGAGTGCACGTTGGCCTCCCAGTTATCGAAATCTTCCCCCTTCTTTCCACTGAAGGGTTCAGGGAAACGGACCTTGACTTCTCACGGCGTGGTGGGGCCGGCTCCTCTTCCTTAGGAGTCGCTAACTTGGCGCCTTCAATGGCGCCAGTGCATAATTCTTTTGTCTTACTAATTGCCAGGTGGACCTGGTCCACCAGGTACTTCATCATATCACGAGCAAAATCTTTAAACCCAGCACGTATTGCATCTATCTTTACTTCTAAGTTGCGGATGTACTGCATCTGCTCACGATGTGCAATTAGTAGAGACTCCACACTCTGGGTCAGGGTATTGAGTTTAGTGGCTATCTCAGTCTCTTCCCTGATCTTCCCCATCCTGGTCTCCGCCGCTTTCAGGTCCCTTTCTGCTCGCTCTGCTCCAAACGCCTAACTTTCTCTTGGGACAGACGCCACTTCCATGCCCTTTGCTGTTCCTCCTCTTTCGCCTTTCTCCTCACCGGGTTCCTTTCTGCTTCCAACTCCCTTCTCGCCGCCTCTCTCTCTGCTTGGGGTATGGCCAATTTTGCCTCCCTATCTTCCCCCAGCTCCAAGTGTGCGGTCCACTCTTGTGTCAACTTCTCAATCTGCTCCTCCTTACTCATACTAGCTTCACCTCTTCTTCTTTCCAATGGCTCCTCTTCTTCTACCACTTCTTCTTCTTCGTCTGCTTCTTCTTCTTCTTCTTCTTCTTCTTCTTCTTCTTCTTCTTCTTTCTCCACCTCCGCTTGTATAGCCGCCATTTTCTCCTCCTGCTCCTGCGTCCACTTCCTCATTTCCTCCACCAGCTGCCTCTTCTTCGCCTCTTGCTCCTCCAGCAAGGCCAGCATCTTGGCCTGCTTGATTAATTCCCTCTTCTCCATCCTTTCCTTCTTCTCTCGCAGAATGGCCACAGCTTTCTCCTCCTGCTCCTTGCTGTAGGGGGTGGTGCTAGTTCCTGACCTGAGGTGCTCCTTGCTGTAGGGGGTGGTGCTAGTTCCTGACCTGAGGGTCACCATGGTGATAGTGCACAATCAGCAACGATTCCGCACCTCAACACGTAGACCAAACAGGTTAACTTCTATCGAGGGGTCTTGACTCACTACTCGGGCTAGACTCACAGTTCTATGACGACAATCACAGAGTCCTACTGACCTGGACAGATCTGACAGGGAGATATGACTGACTGACTTTGATAGACTTGACGTCAGCAAGTACCAAGGTGAAGGTGCACATCCACGGGGTAAGGGATAGGCCAGGGCATAAAGAGATAGTACCGGTAATCTTCTTGCTCCAGCTGGGTCAACGCTCCGATCAACGGTCTTGGTCAACTCGTCGGTCAACGCTCCTGGTCAACGTCGTGGTCAACTTCGGTCAACGCCTGGTCAACGCTCTTGGTCAACCCTTGGTCAACACCCGGTCAACGTTGGTCAACTCCCCTGGTCAACCTTCCAACCTTCCGGCTATGGTGGACCTTCTTCTTCTTCACCTTGGGTATGGTTGACTTCGTCTCCCTCTTCGTCACTTTCTTCTTCCTTCTCATCACGTCTATCTGTTTCTTCTTACTGATTGTCTTTTTCCCGAGCTTGGCAGCTATGGCTGCTATCCCCCCTTCTCTCTCTCTCTCTCTCTCTCTCTCTCTCTCTCTCTCTCTCTCTCTCTCTCTCTCTCTCTCTCTCTCTCTCTGCCGAGCTCCAGCTATGGCGGCTTTCTCCTTCCTCCAACTCGCTGCTGTAGCTCCAACGTGGACAACGCGAACCAGCGCCGATACCAATGCAATCAGACTCGACTCTGGACTTGCTCACAACATGCACACATGAGGACCGATGGCAAACCAAACTCGTGAACTCAGAATCAACAACGGACTTGCTTTTAAACTCTGTTCAGAACAACTGTACAACTTGCGGCTATGGCCGCCGAACACAGTCTCTACCACCAGCCTCACTCTTCCTCACCCTCACATGCACGCACGTACGAGGATCTCCCTGAATGTCCATGCTGCACAGACACACACGCTCTGTATACCCTGTCTGCACCAACAGCTGGGTGGATATGGCTGCCGTCATGGCCGCTGTCTTCTTCACAGCCCACTTCTTCTCCGGGCACCTGCAGTCCTCCACGCACAAGATACCAAGGCAGCTCTTCCGCATGGCACACAGGCGAATGAATGAATGGCTGGATGCTGCCTCTTTATTTATACTTCTTTGGAGGTACCCGGGCCTGCCTCAAAATGTGTGGGCCTGGGCCAAAACGTGTGGCCCAGGGAAGTTTCCAGACGTTTGGCCTTCTGGGCCAAAACTTGTGAAACCCACAGTGTGCTCCAGAACCTTCCCCACGTGCAGCCCCTACCCTTGGTACTTGCTGGCTGGACTGTCCTACGACCTTCTAGACTATACAGACCTACAGNCAGTGTGCTCCAGAACCTTCCCCACGTGCAGCCCCTACCCTTGGTACTTGCTGGCTGGACTGTCCTACGACCTTCTAGACTATACAGACCTACAGACAGATTCCAGTCGTCAACAGACTTCGTAGAGACTTCTAGAACAGACTTCCTAAGCCTATCGGTGACAGACCTAGCTGCTAATCTACAGACCTAGGGATCAAGTCCTACTCGGCACACAGGGTCTATGTACAGGTATAGGGTAGGTCTAGGGATCAAATCTCACTCAGCACACAAGATCAATGTACAGGGTTGTGGCACAGGTCTAGGGATCGAATCTCTGTGACTCCAATGTCAGGTCAACTGGGTGAAACCGTTTCAGTCCGTGCACGCAGGGAATCAAACCGTCGCCCTTAGCCACATGAGCCACGTTTCTTAACCACTACAGGCCTGACACGATGTACAAAAGTGGAGCCATAGCGGTTCTGATATCCCCCCCACCCCTGCATTGCTGTAGTGTCCTTACCTTACTCCACACACACACAACACCCAGGCACGAGTCACACTCCAGGTCCATTGAGCTCATCAATTCAAACCACAAGGGCACGCAGCACAGATATCCACAACTTCGCACAAGGGGGGTCCGACCCCCAACTACAACCACATTCCTGGTATAATTTCTAGGCTGGTTACCGGGTTTGAGCACAGTCAGTACATCATCAGCCTCGGACCTCATACATGTATCCACGGAATCGAGCCGGCACCCGTACCCAAGTTTCATAACACTTGGTTGATTAGTTGTTCAGAAGATTTGTTGCATTCCAATCACCTTGTTAATAATTATTATCTATAATCACCTATAATCACCTACAATTACCTGTAATCACCTATAACCACCAATAATCACCAATAATCACCAATAATCACCTGTAATCACGTATAGTCACCTAATCACCCATGCGTAATCACCTACTGACCTAGAACCACGTAGAAATCATGTATAGTGACATCACCTAATCATCTAATCACCTAGAGTCACCTGCAATCACCTATAATCACCCATAATCACCTAATTGCCTAGCACCTAATCCAATCACACCTAATCAAACCTACTCACACCTACTCACACCCAATCACACGCAATCACACCCACTCATACTTTATTACACTCAATCACACCTTGTCACACCTAATAATCTGCTAATCGCGTTGTCACCTAATCACCTCAGTTGATGTAGTGTGCTTGCCAATGTACTTGTATGCTTTCTTAGCCTTTCTTCTTTTCTTCTTAAACCACCAGTACATGCCAGCCATCGGCCACGGGCCCTTTCGGAATTTTAGGAGTGGCTCAATCGGACTCGCAACTTGGCTGGGGCCATGTACTGGTGCTTCAAGAAGAAAACGGGAGACAATCTTTGTCATGATGGTGTTATCAACAAGATTTGGACATTGAGTGATTGCTTGATGATTCTGGTTGTGTTTCACGCCATGACTGCACACACAGCATGATTCATGGGAATGTTGTGTGTACCGCTTTCACTGCTGACAAGCTGGTTTGTGTGGATGTGTCTGCCATGATGTGTTCGCCTGGATATGGTAACAGAGTATCCGCATTACTGAGTCAATCCACAAGAAGGTGGAGGACAAACTGTCCAAGACACAGCGGGATTTCCTTCTTAGGCAGCAGGTATGCGTGTCCTTACCATTCTCTTTCTCATTGTCTGATACACAGGGATTTCCTCTTAGCTGGTGCAGGTCTATATGTGCCATTTCTTTCTCTTTTCTCAACAGAGGGTTGTTTTTTTGTTTGTTTGTCACCCTTTATTAACTTGGTGGACATGGGGTCCGGAGTCCCTTTGCATCTCTCCATTATGGCTGACATAGTAGACATACCCTTGAGGAGGCATTGATTATGAAGTTATCAACCCCATCTGTGCCCCTGTTATGAACTACCTATCAGTACTTCCTGGTAAGCAAAAACCTTTGTTGACCCCGGTACCTTGAGTGCATCTCAGCTTCCTCGCCAAAGCTTGCCTAACAGCACTGTCTAGTTCCAGGCTACTCTGAGCCCCTGCGGGCCTCCCGGCGGGCAGCAGACAAGCAGTAAGCTCTCGGTCTGGGTAAAGCAGGCACAAGCCGAGTCAGACCCAGATATGGATCCTGGTAGAGCAGCTTGGTACTCAGTAGGCCCTGACCAAATTCCAGAAGGCAGAGCCTACTGGCCAAACAAAGACCCGCCCACAGTATATAAGTCAAGGCGGGGGGGGGCAAGCGGGCATTCCGGCATAGAGTGCCACCAAAGTACATCAGCCTTAAGTCAGCACATCAGCTGAGTGAAGGAAACGGCACTGTACCCGGGAAGGGAGATCGGCACTTCGGTGAAGTAGGTGGCGATATATTGGGAGGTCCTTGGAGGAAGGAGGAAGGCTGTGGGAGAGGTCGTCTGTGAGTACTTACCTGGTGGATGTGAAGGAGGAGCTCCAGTTAGGTCTTCGGGCAGCCACCGGCGGGAGTGAAGGACTGTGTTATGGTGGCTGGTGTTCTGTGGGGTCGAATAGGCGGTCATACATGCTGGCCAGAAAAACGAGTGAGCGCCAAGGACTGTTACTCTGGTCATTGTCCTGATTGTTGGGAGGTGAGAAGGGGCTTTCTTCGTTAAGAGAGCTCAATGTTATCCGTTCTCGAGGTGGTGTGATCATTGCCTTGTGGAGTCTGCTTCCTGTCCTGTTACTACATCGATGCTGTTCAAGAGAGTTGGTGTTGGTTGTGAATTGGGTTTCTCCTCACCGTGTTCCTTGCATTACTTTTTTTTTTCTTTTTTTCTTTTTTAACAGGTCCTTATGGTCCTGGCTCCATTTCCATTCTGGGGAGCTTCAGTTCGGTTCCTATTCCCCCGACAAGTAAAAAAAAAACGGATTACATCATATTACCCACTCAACGCTTCCTTCCGTCTGGCCGAAGGACCCCTGATCAGCATTGATTGCTCCTTCTAAGGAGGATTGATAGCTCGCCCTGACCCTTTGTTCGTCTCAAGCTTCTATTTAGAGCCTGTCGAATGAGTTCCTGTAATACGAGAACAGTGGGGGGTCCACTCTGTGTTCTGTTGCTTGTCCTTGTCCTTCCCTGTGTGTCGGGTCCTCTTTTTGTTGATCCCCATTCAGAACCTTCTGCCAGGTCGCCCAGCAGGTGCCCTCGTGGTCTTCATGATTAAGCCTGGTGCCATTTCTTCCACCTCATTCTGTTGTCTGCTATCGTTGCCACCTTGCCCTTTAGCAGCCAGTTTCTTATGAATGTCCGTTGCTTGATTTGCTTGTCCTTCTGGTCTGTGTCTCGCAGGGTTTGCTATTCTCTGCCATCTGCTCCTGATTTCCGTCTCTGCCATGCTCAGCAGTAGTGACCACGTTTCTTCTCTTGCCACCTCTGTTCCCTCGATTGTCTGAGTGCATCTGCGTTTCCATATCACCCACAATGCCAGCTTCCTGAGTAGGGTGAACCATGCTTCCCTGCTGCCTGTGATGTTGCTGGGGATGTTAGTTAGAAGTAGGATAGAGATAGGGGGGATGTTAGGGGGGGGCGCAGCGAACAGGATCGACCATAGCTCGCAGATCTTCTTCCATATCCAGGTTGCATCAGGGCAGAATAGGAGGCAGTGGGGGATGTCGTCGGGTGAGTCGTTGCTGCACATTGAGCAACATGCCGAGCTATCCGGATCAGAGTGTTTCCTTCTCTCGTGTAACCATTGGTTGACTGGCAGGGCTGCATGTGCTATTAGCCATTGCATGCTTCGGATTCTATTGGTCTGATGAGGAGGTATTTGGGCCATGTGATGGTGATGGGGGTTGTGGTATCTAGGTTCAGTATGGTTCTCCATCTCTCTGTCAGCCTTGGGTTCGGGTCCCTGGTTTGTAGTCCGAGGTTATACCCGAACTTTACGTCGTACTCTGTTATCGTTCTCTATTTACCTATGGTGTCCAGATCCCAGATCCATTCCTTTGGGTCAAATTCCAGCTCGTTGATGCTAAGATCCGGCTGGAATATAGACCAGGGTATATTGTGAGAGACTCTAACCTTCCTGAGAAGGTAGGTTTCTATTTGTTCGTTCTCTGGTGTTTTGTTTAGGATATCTAGTTCATATAGGCTGTGTTTGATGATGGGGTAGGATACGAACTTGGCCTGGTAGTTAGTTGAGTCCGGTTTTGACACAAAGCGGTAGGCTTTCGTTGGCGGGGTCTGTGTGGTGAGTAGTCCCCAGTCTCCTGGTTTCCACATATGTGTCTCTTTTAGGAGGGTCTTCCATGGGGGAGGAATGCTTTGGAGGATTTCTGACAGGTTGGTGGTCAGTAGGTGGCACCCTCTTAAGGGAGTGCGAAGGTCCTGTGCGGTGAGCCATTCTTGTCGGTCTTCGGGCCACAGATGTTTGACCTGCCATACTCCTCTCTCCACCCATGACAGCCATCTGCGGTCTTTAGCCCGGAGAGTCCATGGTCTGCCCTCTGTGTCTTTGATCGAGGGATTGCAGAACAGGGTTTGTCGTAGGACTTCCTCTTTGTAGCTCGGGAACTCTTTCTTGTCTGGCATCAGTTGGCGCCAGGTCTTTAGGATCGGAGACCAGTAGGGGGTCGGTGTGGTGGGGGGTTGAGTAGGAGTCACTGGGTTTGTTTTCCTTGCTGGTCTCCCCGATTTGATTGTCCACTCCTTTGCCATGATCTAGAACAGGCCACTCATGTTTGGTGGGGTCGCTACTGGTGCCAGATTCCTTATGCCGTCTCTCGCCATCGTGGTCCAGGGGAGGGCTTGTTTGGTTAGGATTTTGATTATCCATTTCATTTGGAGGGCGATTGTTTTTTGTTTAGGGTCGATTATACCTAGCCCTCCTTCCTGTGGTTTCCTGATGACCGTTTGCCAGGCCACCTTGTTTATATAGGTGGTTCTGTTGGGGTCGCCAGTCCACAGATAACACCTGGCTCTAGCCTTCAACTTCTTCAGGTCATCGTTGGGGGGCCACCATATGGAGGTCATGTACCACAAGGTGGAGAATACTGTTGTGTTGATGATCAGGGCTCTCCCTAGTAGGGAGGCCTGGGCTTTGTTGCAGGTGGCTAAACGGGTTATTACTCTGGCGTGTAGAGACTCCCCCATCCCTTGCCAGATGCCATCCCTGCTTACCATAATGCCAAGATATCGAAGTGCTTGATCGCTCGTGGTCTAGGACATTGGGGTGGATGGGTTTGGGGGTTGGGGGGGGTGCCTTCCACGAGCCACCATCCTTCCGTTTTCAACCAGTTGACCTTCATTTTGAGGCGAGTTTGAAGGCCTCCATGATGCAGGCCAACGCCTGGAAAGAGGAGTTGTTGGCGCTGATGAGGACCGTGAGATCGTCGGCGAACATCTGTGTGGTGGGGAGAGCAAAGTCGTTGACTTGTCAGTTTGACTTTCATGACACAAACCAGACTAAATAAAGGAATGTATGTACAATGTCAGTTCAGTTTTATTGTTTGGCTGAAAGCAGATTGTGGGATTGCATCTGGGGGAAAGGTGGTAGGAAGGCAGTATTGCATGTTTGACTGGGTCAACCAAAGGCTGGGAGAGTCTCCATAAGATTGGAGGGCCCAGTGCTATGTTTACTCTTGATTGACTAAGGACCAGACAGGTTCCCATAAGATTGGGTGGTCTGGTTGCTTTGACTTGTGAGGGCTGTATGTGTTTGACTTTCAGGGACCAGGCATTTTTCCATAAGATTGGATGGCTTGGTTGCCTTGTTTCTTTAGGTTTTTTATGTTTTGTTGGTTTCTGAACGGGGGTTTGACAAGTTCCATAAGATTGGATGGTCTTGACCCTCTATTGCTTTATTTTGAAGGAGGGAATTCAGGCAAAGGACTGGACAGGTTCCCATAAGATTGGGTGGTCTGGTCTGGAGCCACGCACAAAGGGGAAACTTGTTTATATCTTATACTACTATTTATGAACAAGCTAGTCAGACATTTTTCCATAAGATTGGATGGTCTGACTATAACTTATCACTAACTGAAGAGAGTATGAATTAAGAATAAAATTGTGGTAAGAAGGGACAGGCTGAATCTTGATCTAAGATGACCGGTTCAGTCATATGTTGCCTTAAAAGATAGAAGTGCAGACAGTTATATATAACTTGATACTTAAATGGTTCAAGGCAACTAGGATGGCCTAGTCACATGCCCAAAGAAGAGAAAAGTTGTAGTGCCCTGTGTTTGTGTATATTTTATGGCTGAGCTAGACAGGTTCCCATAAGATTAGGTGGTCTAGCTTTATGCCTTATGTAAGCTGGGTATAAAGGGATAAATCATTGAGAGACTATGAACTATTGTTTTATGGATTGACTTTGGGATGGTGAGAGTACTTACTTTTGTGGTTTGGCCTGCATGAGACTGAGTGCGACTACTACTTAGTCTGAGTTTCAGTTGATAGGTAGTTACTTTAGTTGCTCGCCACCTGCTAGAGCCATAGAAGTTAATTTCAAATTCCTACATTTTCTGAGCTAAGTTCTTTTACTTCAGTCAATTTCTGCATTTTCTGGGATCTTTTATTATATTTGGGCTTGTATAAATCTTGGTAAGTCACTTTCTCTACGGGAAGCATCGCCGAAATTTCTACAAAACCAAGGAGTTAGACAAATTTTGTATTTTTCAGGGTCCAATTTTTTTGACCTTT